ACATTGGTGAGTAAATGAATTTTATTTTACATTTCTTCTTGTCATTTTATTTCGTTAGTATTAAATTCATGGTAACGAAATAAAATGACAAAGATACAAAAATGTATCAAATAAATTTGCTCACCTGCAATTTATAATGGCGCATTGTAGTCACCTTCGTGCCCGAAAGTTCGTTCAATCTCAGCTGCTCAACATTTTCAGTTGTTTGCTGTTGTATCGCCGATTTTCAAAATGCAAATGATCTGTTTAATTTCAAAGAATAGTTTGTTTTGTTATTGTTTGGTTGGTGTCTTATATGAAACTGCGACATTGCGCAATTTATTGGACAGACTTGTTTAAGATCACACAGCGTAATCTGGGTGGCATTTTATTTCGTATTTTTAAATTATCTTTCTATTTTTGACAATATCTGTAAATGTAGTTTCCTGCTCTTAATTGTGGATGCATACTTGGTTTTAAATGCTCCTGAAATTAAGTGCTGCTTGACGAGCCGTTATTGTGTATGTATGTGACATCACTGAAGGCCTAAGGTTGAAATGCACGGCCCGCCACTGCCATATTATAATTAAAAGTATTTCCACAAATAGTGGCCCTCCCACAAGCAGACGCCAAGCCCCCAAAGAGTAACCAGATGCATCATTCAACACGAACATCAAAGATTTAACAGCTGAGTTTCAATTCCAAAACAGCAGGACTGAAACACGAATAGTAAGCACGATGGAAATTAATTCCCTGTGCTGTATCATCTTTAACAAAAATAAGTGTTACGGTAGATTGATTGCTCCACAATTTGTGTATTCGAGCTACCTTTCTTCTACTGTGTCAAAAAAAAAAAAAAAAAAGTATGAGCAACAAATAAAAAAGCCATCAAAATAAGCAAATTAGGCATACGGTAGTAACTAAGGAGCCACCTTTTCTTATGTTGCTGGGGGAAATCGTTTGTTATATGCCTGCCACAAGTAACTTTGAAAAAACAGGGCGCGGGATGAATCCCAGGTCTAACTCTGTTCAGTTAATTCCGTTTTTCACGGCCCTCTGAATAGGGATTGTCGGTCAGCATGGAAGGATCACTCATTCTGTACTTTTCTGACACATTTATTGGAGCACTTTGCAGCAGAAGTAGTAGTAGATGTAACAGAAGTAGTATCAGAAGCAGGTAATAACCTAAAGCACACATAAATGCAGTAAAAATGAATGTACAGTATCTTTCTGCATCACGATGTAAATATGTATATAATTGACATTAATTAATACTTGTAATGGCGGCCCGGTAGTCCAGTGGTTAGCACGTCGACTTCACAGTGCAGAGGTACAGGGTTCAATTCCGGCTCCGGCCTCCCTGTGTGGAGTTTGCATGTTCTCCCCGGGCCTGCGTGGGTTTTCTCCGGGTACTCCGGTTTCCTCCCACATTCCAAAAAACATGCATGGTAGGCTGATTGAACACTCTAAGTTGTCCCTAGGTGTGAATGTGAGCGTGGATGGTTGTTCATCTCTGTGTGCCCTGCGATTGGCTGGCAACCGATTCAGGGTGTCCTCCGCCTACTGCCCGAAGACAGCTGGGATAGGCTCCAGCACCCCCCCGCGACCCTAGTGAGGATCTAGCGGTTCGGAAGATGAATGAATAATACTTGTAATACTTTTATTATAACAATAAATTTAATAAATACTTTAACCAACCATGATTTCACTATGTATTATTATCGTCATCATGATTCATTATTTTAAAGGTAAGAAACCAAACATCACAAACAAATCAAGTCGACTCGAACAAAAGAACTACAAGTCCCAAAGGTCCAACCCGGAAGTGGAGCGCCGGCATGATTAAGCCCAGCTGCGATGCAATTTACTTAGTTTAAACATCAAATTGCAGCCGGACAAACATGACAACTATGCAAAATGAAAAATGATCTAACTAAAGACACCACTGTTCTAGCCACACTTCAGCCCATGCTGTTTAAATTGCCGATTGCGAACGGTAACTGATGATTGCATAGCGATGCGGCAAAGCACAACGGACACAATGCAAAGCAGACAAACAAAGCAACCGATCATGATCGAATCTAAAAGCCAACTTTACATATCTGGTAAAGAAAAGCACACGTAGCTTACCATTGGGCCATGCCGACGACGAAGCGAGTGTATTCACTAACGAAACATAATGCGATGCTGCTTTTTAAACGTCGCGCGTAAGGCCACCTGTCAGTGGCAGCCCCGCCCCTCTTAAAGCGCCAGGTGATTCCAACAAACTCTCCGATTAGGGGAGATAGGAAGATGTTCAGGGTGCCGTGGACTCTAGGGGGCGCCAAAAAGTGGGCCAAAATTCACCTTCAATATAATTCTGTTCAAACGTTAACTCTTAATTTCAAGTCAAAAGTAAAGAAATTTATAGAAGCAATTCAATAAGCTAAGAAGAGCAAGGTACAATAATTTCAAATCAGCGTCCCTGTCCAGGCAGACTGGGTTACGCACTGTGCGTTACCTGCATCAAAATAACTCTTGATAGCTTTGTACAGACGCTCCCCAGCTTACGGACGAGATACGTTCCGAACGATTGTTCGTAAGGTGAATTCGTTCGTAAGTTGCTTCAGTGCTATATTTTGTATAGAATGTATGTTTAAGGCTTAAATAAGTATGTTTACTTGCTAATGATCGTCAATTGCATCGGCACTGCACCTTTCACGTGTTCCATTATGCGATCGTTCTGTTTATAAATGGTACCAATGGTGGAATGATTCATGTTGTATGCACGTGCAACGCTCACCATATTCTCACCCGCATCAAGCTTCTTTATTCTTGCCACTTTCATTTGAAATGAAATGGCTTGCCTCTTCTTTACACTTCCACTCTCACTAGAAGCCTTTCGCTTTTCACCAACCATATTGAATAATGGATGCACGAGATATATAACAACTGGGCAGAGGAAGCCGGATTTAGGGTGGATGCTGGGCGAGCTCTCACAGCGCCTCACGTCGGTATTAGCGGCGGAAAGAAGCACTACAGTACCTGTACTCGGAAAAAGGCGCGCAATACAAAATCTAACTTTTTCTTTTCTTTTTCGACATACCCGTAAAAATGTTCGTATGTACCGTTGTTCGTAACTCGGATGTTCGTAAGTCGGGGAGCGTCTGTATTTCTAAATTTATGATGGTAGCTGCACTTTAATAGTATATGAAAATAAAATGAATCCACGATTCAGAAACAAAGTTAAAACAAAAGTGGAGAAAAGAGAAACATGAGTAAATCTAAGACCGTTAGGGAATTTTAAAAATTGTACATCATGTTTCTTTTACTACTTAAACTTATTTACAATAAATATTTCCTTGTGTCATTTTCATATTTTTTTCTCAAAGTCCTCAACTTAATTCAAATGCAAATGTGATTATACTTAATGTACCTCAGTGCCAGTAACTAATGAATGATTGAAACGTCTTGATGAACTGTCAAATTACTCAATGTCAAAATAAAAAGGGGGAAAAGATAATCATGGATTAAAATCCAGATAAAACATTCGGTGTTTGAATGAATATCTTTCATTTGGGGAAGTTGCACATATTTATAGTCACTTCACAACCCTGAACATGGAACAGCTAACGTAGAATAAAACTTAAAGCAATGCTTAATATTTACTCCAAATTATAATACTGTACCAAATACCTCCTCCTCTGCCTGGTACATTACTCACTCTCTGCGGGGAGGAGGGGTAAATTCATGTGCCCCCCCCAAACCCTGCCTTCCCCTCAACAAAAATCTCATGAAGTAAAGGCAATGTTAAAAATTCAACTTCTTTGGTAAGCGTATGTAGTTGGCTGATGGAGCGGGCGCCATATAAAATCTCGCCTCGGGCACCACATTGGCTTGGCTGGTGTTAAGGCAAACCGTGGCCCTCCTGTAATATTGATATTGGTGCAGTATGAGTATGCCAACATCAGGAGTCAATGCCGTAGCTGTCTGGCATCTTGCTCGCTGGTCGAACACTTTCCATTAACGTTTATAGTATTAACGTTGACGGTATCCTTCGCTGTGATCGACTGGCAACCCATCCAAGGCGTATTTGACCGGAGTTAGCTTGGATACACTTCAAAGGTTTTGTGTATTTGCCTTTATGAGCCCTGCGATTGATCTCGGTGTACCGCAATGGAATCGAGCTCACTTGAGAACCATGATGAAGACAAGGGTGGCTCGCTAACACTTGACATGTTTTTGATGTCAACCAGCCCAGAGATACCTGAAATGAATGCTTTCTTAAGAAACCCTTTCACGGGGATCTTCTTTCATGGAGAAGGTCCCAAAGGTCAAGCCATCACTATATTTTCATATTTCTGTTTCTTTTGGCACCAGGTGAAGCCTGAAAACAGCAAGAACATCGAAAACACTTGACACTTGCTGAAGGAGTATGCAGCTAATTTATATTCACTAATTTATACTCGCATCTTCGAGCAATACATCCCAGTGCTTTTTTTTTTTTTTCTTTTAGGGTAGAGGTCCAATTTTAATGTAGCTGAAGAAGACAGGGTCAGCAGTTTCGCACACCGGGGGAGTCATTTCTCACGTCGAAGGAAGCTCCTTACAATGCAAAATGAAATAAAACAATTTTCACTCCATTTCTGCATGAAAATGTACATTATCCAAATATGATTTTTATTATTTTACCTTCCGTTTGGTATGTGAAGGATTTGAGCAAATTGATGAATATTTGGCCACATTTGCAAGAACGAATTGGCGTTTTCGTACTCCTGACATTTGTTTACACAATCGGTTGAAATAACGCTTAGCACTTGATTGGTAAACGTTACAGAGAGACTAAGGCTGAGGAAGCAAAAAAAAAGAAAGACTTCAAGTTTCATGCAGAAAGCTTTGAGTAGACGTTCTGGTGTTGAGAGAGGGATTACAAGGCGTCATGGTTGCATATCCTCTCATGCCGCCTTTTCAAGAATGTATGGCTTTTTGTGGTCCATGCGAGTAAACCTATCCCCGAGGGCCACAGTAAAAGAGCAAAGGGTAAGGTTGCGTCTCAAAAGCCTACACTCCCACTCGCAGGAATGAGCTGGCAGCACATCGGCGGATAAACCTCAGCTTGGAAAATAGTGAGTAGAAGCACCAAGATGCTGAGCTTATTCTTAAATATGTATTCTGGCCCTTAAACTTATTTCATGTGAAATTAGTTGTGCAGATGAACAGCGTATATAATTTTAGTCGTTCCTCAGCTTCAAAACAAATGAGAATGTGCACTGTATGATGGTGGCGCTGGCTGGACTTGTTTGGATGCAGAATTGACGCATCCAGGTGAGAAATGAAAAAAAAAGGGTCTATGATTTACCATTGTGCAGGGATGGCGCTACACCGGTGCTATGAAGGGCTATAGCCCTGTCAGAAATCAATGTAGCCCCAGCTCAGCCCCTCCAGAAATTCATTTGATATTGTAAAATATATTTATCAATTATTTTCTCAAGCTCCCTATGTAGCGGTCAAGACTCACTTCAGTCCCGGGAGAGAAAATATACTCGAGCCATCCCTGGCGGTTGTATAGTAACGCAAAAGTATGAATTTCAATATTTTTTTAAGCTTTACATATTATCTGGTTTCACAACTTGTATGTGTATTTTATGAAATAAAAGTGATGGTGTCCTCCTTATGTTTTGTAAATAAATCAACTTAAGTCAATGGCTGTTATTTTGTATCAGAGACACCTGTCCACCAGATGTACAAAAACTGTCTGCATTAATCTGCATGAATCATTTCACAGAATATGATATTTAAAAACATATCCTCTGATGACATAAAAAGGTAGTTTATTAAAGCAATGACTGCCAACGTATGGCTTTGTGTCACTTCTTTGACGGATAGTCTTGTGAGTTTGGCGACCTACTGGCTGCAAAAGTTGAGCTGCTCCCTTGCAGGAATCCGTAGGCTGTATGCAATTATTTGATGACCGTGGGAGCTTTGTCATTTACGGGATGAATGGAGTTACCGACTTGTGGATATCATACCAAAATTTCACTCTGCTGTATATTACAACAAACTGCAATTGTATGTGTACTGTATGCACCAGAAATGTCCGATTGGAGATTTGACTTTAGGATGTTTTCTTGATTGATAGTGCGGAAAATTAAGGAAAAACAAATGGGTTTATTGCCTATTAGGAAATATATTTTAGAACGGAATGGGGTCATCTCTTTCCAAATGTTCCCAAAACACTTTTGAGACAATTCAAATCCAAAGATCAACCATTTGCTGTCCTGCATTAACCATGTGCAATCTGCATTTTACAGAGCAACTGTCCAAACTGTGCATCTAAATCAAAATGTTTAAGATACGCAGAGGCAAGGATGTGGAGCCCACTGTTCCTGGACAAGGTAAATAATATCTGTTTCTGTTCTTTACTTTTCTTTTATAAAACAACTCCCGATATAATCATGCATATTCCCGAAGGTTTGGTTTAAATCCCAAAAGTACAACCTTAGAGGGATTCAATCTATTTCAACAAACGCCGTGATTTTTTTATTTATTTATTTATTTTATTTTTTACAGTGAATACATAAAAGAAATCGAGGGTACAGTGTGTGTGATGATCACACAATTTGGAGAAGTCCCTGCAGGCATGAGTACCCCAAACTTCACCCGGAAACCCATCGCGCTGAACATTCAAGAAGGTAAACTGCAAACACTCCCGTGTCAAAGCCGCGTGTGTTTTTGTATTTCACATATGACGCCATGATGACCAGCAAATTTGACGCCACTCATTTCCAGGAAAGCTTGCCATTTTCAAAGCCATAGTTAGTGGCAAACCTGTGCCGAAGGTGTCGTGGGCGAGAAACGATGGGGAAATTGATGAAAAAAAATTGCAAAATCTATGATACACATTCTGGTGAACAGATATGCAAGACTGAAGGAAATAGGAATAAACCAGCGGAAATACTGTTACTGTGGCATCAATCTTGCATTTTTATACATTCCGGATGTGTCGGTGGAACACGCTGACTCTTACAAAAATGTTTTGCGGCAAATGAGTATGGAAAAGCAGTTCTCACCGCTGCCCCTAATGTCTTTGAAGGTGAGTCACGTACATCATTTAAAAAACGTAATTACTGAGAGGGATTAATTGTCCTCCATTCTAATGGTTTCCTTTCTATTTGGCTATAAAAAGAGCAGAGCCTTGCAGCAATCAAGAACAGGTACACACTCCACACTGTTTGAGATGCAAAGACACGCATACACTGAATTAATCAATCACCCCCACCCCCTCACACACACACACACACACACACACACACACACACACACACACACACACACACACACACACACACACACACACCAATCTACATTGCTTCCAGCTGTGCGAGAACTCCCTGAAGACTTCAGGAAGGCCTTAAAATGCACGAAAGTAAGAACTTCAAAGAATCGGTGGTAAAAGCAAATGGCACACGCATTGATGTCAATGAATTTCTAGAGTAGGGCTAACATCAGAACAAAACCTGAAATCAAACGAGTCCTCGATGACAGGTTCTGGGAGCTTTTGTTGAGCTCTGACCAAAAAGCTTATGAGAATGTCTGCAGCGAATATGGCGTCACGGATTTCCACTTGATGCTGAAGAAACTAAATGAGAAGAAACTGGAGATGGAGCATGAGGTATTTTTTCCTCCATTTTTATTCTACAATTCTACAGCCTCGGTTCCCTGTCAGTGACGGTGTGAATGTGAGTGCGAATGGCTGTCTCCCTCGATATGTCTCCTGCGACTAACCAGTTCGGGGCGAAGTCTGCCTTTTGATCGAAGTCAGCCGGTATAGGCTTTCAACACCCTGCAACCCTGAACAGGATACGCAGTATTGAAAATGGATGCATGGAGCTTATGTGCAACATAATATGGAAATATAACACAGGATTGCTTTGTCCTGATATTCATAAAAACAGGTTGTCGAGACACTTTGCAACCTAAAACCCATTGAAATCAAAGGCAATGGGGCAGAGTTTGAGCTTGAAATGTCCCTTAAAGACCCTACAAGCAAAATCTTCTTGTATAACCTGAGACACTTCCTTTTCAATTGCCAAAGTCTTGTAAATGTGATAGAGTGTGGGAAAAAAAATGGTCTTCAATATGACCGGACAGGATGGCGTAATGGTTCCTTTTGAAGATTGGATCAAGTTCAAGAACACTTTAAGGCAAGTCAGGAAAAAAATTGTCTTCGGCATCAATGGTGTTAATCCCGATGATGCTGGCTTTTATCAAATGGATGTTGACGGTGTCAAGATCTTCTCAACCGACTTAAAAGGTGAGACGGCGCATCTGGACTGATGGCTCATATTAAGCATACCCTGAAATATTCTGTTCGTTAAGTTCCCAGTCTCGACTTCGTGGTCAAGCTCCAAGATTTGACAGCGAGAAAATGAGAAGATGCCGTGTTTGAGTGTGTCATTTCACGACCCACGAAAAAACTCAAGTGGATGGGAAGGGACACTCCACCGGAGCAAGGAGACAAATACGATATAACCGTGTCGAAGGATATGTTCATTCAGTCTCTGATGGTGAAGGACTGTTGGCCTTTGGACAAAGGGATCGATACGGCTGTGGCTGGAATCCAATCTTGCAGTGCCTGGCTTATAGTGGAAGGTGCGTGCACACTGACCTTTTCAAGAAATGAATCAAAATGCTTGCGTCACGTTTGATTATTAATTTCGGCCTTCCTGTGTGGCGTTTGCATGTTCTCCTTGTTAGTTGTCTCTTGAGTACTCTGGCTTCCTCCTACTGTCCAAAAACACCTCAGTGGTAATGGTTTGGACATTCTTGCTCTAAATTGTCCTGAAGATGAACAGTTGTTGTTTTTCTATATGTGGCCTTTGATTGGCCTGTGACCATTCCTCTAGAGAGGCCAAACGCTATCAAAAATTAATGGTTGGATGAGATGAAATGCCACATAAAATACTGCTAACACTATTCTCTCAGTTTTTTTTTTTTTTTTTTTTTTTTTTAAATAATCAGAGGAAAATGAGCCAAACCTGGCTGGAAAAAAATGAAGCTCATAAAGCAACTCGAGCAGGAGGTGGCGGAGCGGGTCTGCTAAAGATTGCTGAGCAGCAAAAAGATCAAATTACAGAAGCATAGAGATGAGTTGCTTGTGAAGCCCAAGGCAGAAGCTGAAGCTAAAGCTGAGGCCAAAGCGGAGGCTAAAGCAAAAGCTGAAGCAGAAGTCGAAGCGAACACAGAACAGCAGGTTAAAGCCAAAGAAGAGGCTAGACCTGAAGAAAAAAAGCAAGTCTAAAATGAAAGCTGAATCGGTGGATATGACTCAACAAAAAAGGAGAGACGAACATTCAAGATAAAACGGGGGATAAAACTAAAGAAAAAAGATAGATGAACATTCCAGATAAAGCAGAGGATAAGACTGAAGAAAAAAAAGAGAGATTAAAACTCAAACTAAAGCAGAAGATAAAACTCAAGAAAAAAGAGAAACTCACATTCAAGATAAAGCAGAGGCGAAGACTAAAGAAAAAAGAGGGACAAGCATTCAAGATCAGTAGCGGAAAGGACAACCAAAAAAGAGAGACTATCACTGTAGCTTAAGCAGAGATTGAAGCTAAAGCAAAGCCAAAATCCAAAACCAAACCCAAGCAGGAAGTAAAGGTGGAAAAGGGAAAGAAAAATATAAAGTGATGGATGGAGATGCAACCATACCAACAGAATCACCAGTAACAGAAATGGAGCAAGAGGAGGCAAAAGAAGTAGACCAAAAAGAAGGAGAGGAGGACTTTGAAGTAGAGGATGAGGAATAGAAAGAGGAGAGTGGAAAGGAAGACGCAGAGGGAGTGGAAGCGGAGAAGAGAGAAGACAAGCCGAAGCAGCCGATAGGAGCAAAGCAAGCTGAGGTTACCGTTGACGCCAAAGCATCTGACGACATAGAGGAGCCAGTTCTGGAGAAAAAGAAGAGAGTAAGAAGAGGCCCACTCCTTCCCGATACTGTCACTGGTAAGATGAATGAGATTTTTCCAAACAATAGTGTGATCTTTACCCTTTAGATGCGGGTGTTTGCTTTACCAGCGGTTTGTCTGACATAAATGCCATCATTGATGTGGAGGCAGAGTTAGTCTGCAGACTGACCAGCGAGGAGTGTGAAGGAGTCTGGTACAAAGATGGAAAAGAGGTGAGAGACAAAGAGTATATTTGAGAGCAGTGTTTTTTGTTTTTTTTTTTTTAATAGCTCCAATGTATATTTTAAATAACATCCACAGATGATGTCTGTATTGTTGAAGATGGGACTTACCGCAAGCTTGTGTTAAAAAAAAAAAACGGCAAAGAAGAGGAAGCAGGAAAGCATCGCTTTGAGGCCGGTGGCCGTAAAACGGAAGTGATGGTGATTGAAGGTAGCCACAAGAAAAAAAAAAAAGTTTCCCCTGAAGAGGTCGTGTGGTGATGAATGGCTAGGATAAAAGAATATGTGCTCTTCCGACAGACCCCCCGAGACTGAACAAGGATGACCTCGCTAGGTTCTTAAAACCGGGATAGTAAACACTGGGAAAGATGCAGCCTTCAAGCTGTCCTTTGTTGGCCGAGAGCCAATGAAAATCCAGTGGTACAACGAAGGTGAAGAGCTGTTGGAGGACGCCCGGACAAGAAATGAGAAGTCCTCCACGCACACTCGCTTATTGCTGCTCAAGTGCAATCGCAAAACCTCAGGGGAAATGAAGATAACGATTAAAAATGAATTTGGACCAATAGAGACAGTCACTCAACTCATCGTTCTCGGTATGAACAGCTCGGATGAAAAAAAACAAAATTGCAGCCATGATTTCTGATTCTGAATTTTTTAATTTGCATATTTGTCACATGAGAGTGTTTTGGCCATCCTGCTCATTTTAAAATCTCACAAAGACAACCAAAGAAAGTACACGATGCACTTTCTCTAAAATTATTTGTAGTCATCAACAGTGCAAAAAAAAAAAAACTTCTGGCCTGTGTAGAAATAGTAAATGCACTCCTTTATTAAGTCGTGAGTTCTTTCCCCCATGCATTCCAATGTTGTCTAGTGTCTTTACGGGTCACTCATTGAGCACTATTCTCAACTGTGTCAATCGGAGGCCACAGTTCTTTGGATGTCATTCTTTTGTGAGTTCTTTTGTGACCCGCTGAATCAGCCACTGTTAAAGTGTTGTTAAAATAATTTTGGTTGGCATACCACTACTGGAAAGGTTTACCACAGTTGTGACAAGGTCTCCGACCAGAGTTTCTCTAGCGTCCCAGCCCCTTGTAAATGAAATTTCCAAACTGACAGATTGGAATCACTTTGTTTCTCCTTTGTTCTTGAATTTCCTTGAATCATGGCATGATACCTTTTGTTTGAGATCTTGTCAAGTCAACTTCATTGTCAAATGTGCTACATGTGCAACATACAGCACAGATGAAATGGCATTCCTCAGGAGAGAGAGAAGCTGCTGCGGATGCCCGCGCCGCCATCAAAAGAAGAGTTAACATAAAATGACAAAATAATACAACACAACACATAAGACACAGACAGTCGTCCAATCTTATGGATGTAAGATTGTACTGTAAGATTGTACTGAGCAAGAGTGCTAGTCACCAATGAGGGTGAACCTCAAAATTTGGACAACAGCATCATTGCAATGCCTCTCCCCAAAGTAAATGAGTGGACGACTAAAATTATATGTAATCACATTGTCATATATTTGTACTTTATCTTTTTGGTCCATTTTCCTACGCTGATTTTGTATACTCATTCCAATACAGTGAGACCTCATTTTACTGACAAAAAAAAAAAAAAAAAATGAAGAACTTGATCATAACGAGAGCTGGCAACTCCACAAGGGTCAACTATAACTTCTCGGTTCAGTATGCATGAAAAGGAATGAGCACATCATTTCAGTTAGACACATTTTTTAAAAGCTCTGTCTCATGCTGTTGACAGGATTCTCCAATACCAACAATTACATGGCTCAAGGATGGGCTGCCTCTTCCCAAGCATGTGACAGTGAGCAATTCCGACACTTCATCTCTTAATGATCGCGTCGTATGATGAGCGTAGACATCGGGATCGACACACTGACCTTGAGGAACATCGTTGGGCAGGAATCATGCATTGTTGAGATAAGAGTCACAGATAGAATTGAATTGGTAGATTAGTTGGTCATCCACAGCAAGAGAGCTATATAGATAAGTAATCTATATATATATATATTATTTTCCTAGATGACTCCAAGCCTCCAGGCCTGGTGGAGTTGGATGAGAATGTGTCTGGAACATTGATGATCACTTTGACCGCCTCTCCGGATGAGAAAAAAGATGACAGGCTGCACTACCTGATCACCAAGCGCGACTCCGTCAAGAGCAGTTGGCAAACGGTAGCGGGCCATCTTTGCAACAATAAGTTTACTGCCATCAATATTTTGCCAGGAACGCAGGACAAGTTCCGCGTCTATGCCAAGAATGACATGGGAATTTCTCAACCTTCGGAGTCGCCAAACTGGGAAGTGAAGCGAGAGAAAGGTAGGGACATGTGACAGCTGGTAGATGCTTTGGTTCCAAATCTTGTTGCTTAATTCTTCATCTAATTCACACAATTAAATTTGGTGGACCTCTATTCACTTATTTCCAAACGTTACTTATATGCTACATCTTCCAATACTGACACAAAGCGAGCGATACACAAACGCTTTTTAGAATCTGAACACATTTTTTACGTATTCATATAGTGTGTGGTGCACACAACCCGCAATGGACAATCTGTCCATTGACAATCAAGCGTCTTGTCCCCCAAATCGAAACTGATCAATAGCAGTAGCCAACCGATGAGAGACAGCAATATTCCGTCTGTGTATCCAGCAAAATTGAGCTGCAGCTCTGCTTACCTCGTGGCTCCGAGATGACAACAAGGGTGGCACACCTTGGGACGTTTGTGTTTCTGCATCATAATGGCCATACATGGTTTATTTCAAATGTGATGAATGGGAAGGAACGCCAATTATTTCCACACAAGCAATTAAAAAGTCATTGTTTATCATGTGTCAATTATGTGCAAAATAACAAAACATTCTGTTTCAAAAGATGTATTCTTTGTAGTTAGATGTGCTGATCCAAAATGTGATGAGTGCAGTGATGTGTTTTACTGGCCCATACAGTGGTACCTCTACTTACGAAATTAATTGGTTCTTGAAAATTTCGTATGAAGAGACGTTCATAAGTAGAGGTACCACTGTATTTAACTACTAGAGCCAAGCCTACCCATACCTTGGTTCTCATTTGTAGATGTTAAAGCCTCATGAGTTGATGTTTTGGCACCTACATTTGTTGTGGGTATCTCGTCCAGTTTTCCCTGGTTGTTTTGTTTTCAAGATACAAAGTTGTCTGGTAACAGATACTCAACTCACAGTTCAATAAATATCTGTCATTTTAAAGAAACGTCCAGTTACTCCTTGCCTCACCTGCTGGTGTTGCCACCTAGGGGAGTCTTACCAATATCAGGTTGGCCAAAAGGGAAAAGTCAAGCAGAGGGATTGCACAATAACTGTGTAGGGCATGAAGACTATCTCTCCAAGACCCCAATATAATTTTGTGACATCTGTTTGCTTTTCTTACTGTTGAAGTTTCACATAAAACTCTTTACAAACCGTCACTTTTTGCTTTTAGATTGTGGGGTGTGTTTAGAGGCTTTCAGAAAGGCATTTGTGACCACTTTCACAGAAAGCCATAAATGACATTGGAAAAAAAATTAAGTGCAATACTTCAAGTGTGAAGCCCCGAGAACCAAAAGCCTTGTTAACGACTCAAGACTTTAATGAGATTCCCTCATTTTGTGTTTCCCTTTTACTTGTGAAAAGTGGTAGGTAAACAAAACAACAAAAAACTTTTTTTTTTTTTTTTTTTATAATCCTGGGAGGCATAGGGTGAGACAGACTTCACACATGACATGTGGGTGTTGGTTGGTTGGATAGTTCAGCATTAGATTAATACGAAAGTGTGGTAATATTGGAAAATATCACACAAACTTGTGTTTATCATCTGGCATTTATGTATTGTTTTCTATTATTTTTGTCATACCGTAATTTGTTTGGTTTTTTTTGTGCATTTTTAAGCTGAGGTGTGTGTCTGTTTGTCCAATATTTGTCTAACCTTTGTGTATTTGTTTTCCTGAATCTGTTTGTCTTTTTTTGATATTGTTTCCTGCTCTTTTCCCCTAATGGGATTTCTAACATTTGGGGGAGGGTTCTTTCCGTATTTTTTTCCATCTAATATTTCGAAGGATTTTTTTTTTCCTGTAATATTTTATATTTTCCCCAATATTTGTCAGGTTTTGTTTTTCTTATTTCTTAGCTTTCATGGGCCCCTTGAACGGCACCATATAAATGAAAGTTATTGTTTTTGTTATGAAATGATGATGCCCTTCATCGAATAGTGTTTCTGGAGACCACGCTGCATTGGCTTGTGTAACATTGTCTTGTTTCATCACTCTTTTGCTTTTATCGATTCAGTCCCCCGAGAACAAAATGACCTGCACGAATGACAATATCGCCATGCATGTCTCAGTGTCATGCATCTGCGTTGATGACAATGGCTTCTTGAAATAAACAATCGTGCTCACGCCAGGCATAGCCGTGTTATTGCTAAGGCCTCGATAACTGTGTGCTGTGGCTGCGTGCCAGCAGTCACAGTCTCCATGAGGAGCATGAATGACTTGGATGATGACTTGGAACATGTAAGGAAATACCCTCGGGGAACACAACAGATGCACAGCACATTTATCATTGTCCCACCATTCCGCACTTATTGCCACTATTCACAAAATGCAGTCAGGGTGAACATCATGTAATACTGCACAGTAAAGTCCATTTTACGCAGGGGATAAGGACAGAGCCATAGAACTGCAAAAATAATTGATTATCAAATTAATTGACAACTCAGCCTCTCAACAGTAAATATGATCCAATAAAGATGTCAAAATGACAAAGGACAAAAACAAGACTAATCAAAACGTCCTGTTTTGATTGCCATACTTTTTACAGCGACGAATAATCAATTTTCAGTTTCGTAACTGGACCGAAATTGGTGCCACTCTGACCTGATAGTTTCGACTGTCTACGTTCATATTGTGGCGCCACGGTAGCACAACCCAACTAAACACCTGTTTCGTGATTGGTCGCTCTTATGTCACTCGTGGGTCACGCCATTGTCAAGGGACATTTACGAGGCAGCGAGGTGATAGATACCAGGCAGTCACACCGTCACCAACATAGCTATCATGTGCTCGCACAACATTCGGCTATTAATTTCCCATTGGATCACTTTGTTGTTGCTATCCAAAAACAGAGTTATAAATGTTACAAAATATGTTAACGGTCTATCAAAGGAATAAGTGCAAAGTACCTTAGTCAAGTTTACGCTCATCGTGATGAGTTTTGAAATTTAGAATACAGTTTCTTCATGTTGTAACAACACAAAATGGCCAATGAAACTCCAAACTCATCGAGTACATTTATGGTTAAAAGTCTGAATTGTCACATTCATCGGGGTGGTATACAAAGCTTTCGTTTCAACTCCAGCCAAAATGAAGTAAAATTTGAAATTCTTCGAGTGGTACCTTGAAGATGATTTAACCACGGTAAATTCAAGTCAAAGGTTGTTGAAAAAGTGTAGCAATATGGAATAGGCCAATTTCTCTGGGTGACATATGTCAAGTGCAATTGCATCTACTTAAAAAGTTCACACTCCTGCTGGGAGGAGAGTGCGGTCATCGTCACGCGCCGTCAGGCCTTCCCTCCTGCCCGTTTTCCCAGAGGTGGCAATTTAGGTCAAAAACAAAAAAGGCGATCATCTTTCTTGGCAGCGACCGCGTCAGACAAAGTGGGCACTTCACTGCAGAGTCACTTGCTGGACATTCCTCTCAAGGACTTAATAGCTTGTGGAGGAGGGAGGCAAGACGCACACTTGGGAAGCTAGGGGAGGACCGCAGAAGCTCGGGGGTAAGTTCATCGATCAGACATTAGGAGTTTTTCAATGCTTTGGGTCGTCATCACAACTGATCATTTCGCCGATTTCCTCAAGGGCTATGAGTTTTTAAGCTAAAATTCACTGGTATCAAATTACAAGGTATAGTACATGGGATTTATCACATTTCCAGCTTGCTCAAAAGACAATAGAGGGTGTCCCAACATTTTCATTCATTTGTAACATATCTGAGTACCCATTGCAAATGTTCTAGACCAGGGGTGTCAAACTCATTTTTTGTGGCAGTCCACATTTCTATTACTGTTTCCCTTGGAGTGCTGTTATGACTGGAAGCAGATAAAGACTAACGCTTTATTCAGCTATTAAGTTCCTGTCATGAGGGCTTTGGTAACAAAAAAAATTATTACACAACAGTATCTTTTATTTAGTACATCTAAGAATTTTACATTTTTGGAAGAGATTTTAGCAAGCATCATGGGGGTCGACATGTCTGATTAGTTTTCGCGGGCCACAGGAAATGATGTGGTGGGCCAGATCTGGCCCCCGGGCCTTTAGTTTGACACCAGTGTTCTACACAAACAAAAATTCTGCAAAAAACAGCATTTTCAAATGGATATTGATGTTCCAACCAATTTCACAGAGATTGAATTTTGCTTGAAGAGAACAGGAGTAGGGGGGAAAAATTAGTGTGTTCACATCTGGTTAAAATTTGAGATCATTTGAGCAAGATTTGCCCATGTTATGAAAGGAGAGAATTATGACAAAAATGTTGGGACACCCCTTTATTTTGAACAAATAAGTCATTTAGATTCCGGACAACGGTGTAATAAAAGTATTTGGTCCAAATTAGTTTGTTTGTATTCTTAACAATGACTTCACAACATGTCTGGCTGCTATTCTCCGGTCATGTTTTGGAGTAGAGAAAAATGCAACACTATCCAAATTTGATGCAGTATTTCCTATTTTGCCTTGAGTGTAAAGCACACATCGTGGTGCATAAAATGTCAAAACCCCATTTGAGCAATAAACCAAAATTAGCAATCTGGCCTTTCACAGCTGTTGCACCTCGCAACTCCCTACAAAACATGTGTTTTGAACTTGACCTTAGCGACGTCTTCATTTTAACCATTTTTATGATGCCGTCCTCTGGGGTTTGTGATGCGTCAAACTGAGTACACGAAAAAAAAAAAGTTTGAGATGCTCTTTAGTCCAATCAGTGCACCTTTTAATACCGAGTCCAGATGTTTCTTTGTGGTTCAAAAAAAAGAACTTTTACTTAGTCATGGTACCTTTACACTATGGAAAGTCTTTTGATGCTTATATGTCATGTCTTTGTTTGTCGTAGCTGCTTGTTATTGCAATACTAGTGTAGCCTATACTACCGGAGACAAATTCCTTGTGTGTTCTACATACTAGGCAGATAAAGATGATTCTGATTCTGATTAAATCACATGAGATTCAGACTTTTTGGTGGGGTACCTAATTTGTTGCTGTTTGGGTCCTCACCAAAAAAGTGGATAGTATCACTCCAGTTGGAAGGGTTTTCCACTGAATTTTCATCTGTTACGTAATTGATTTCAAAATTACTTTTACTGTATGAAGCGCCGCATAATTTGCGGTCGAAATAAATTGTTTTAATGCATGACATATTTCAAACAAACTCAAGAGAAAACTGCAGATTTGCTCCCGTTCTCGGTTCTTTTGAATCAAGACTGACCAAGACTGACTTGTTGCTGCCTGTGAGTAAATGAAATCTAAGATCCAGCTGCACTGTCTTAACTGATCTTTATTTTTGGATCTTAATTTCATTTTCGTCTTCTCTGTTTGCATTTGAGCTCACTTTTAATTTAATTCACCCTTGTGGGTTTGCTTTTTACATCTGATGCCTTTTGTAGAGCATCTAAATTACTGTGGGTAAAATGTGCCTTACAAATAAAAATACTTTCCTTCCCCCAACAAAAGTGTAGCTACACTTCTCCATTTTGAGTGAATTTTATGTTGTTAAAACAAACAAAAAAAAAAAAAACG